AGGCAGTAGATGGCGACAACATGCAATTAAGGACCGAAAACAGTAATGAGTGTCTACGATGACGGGGTCTACATGAAGTCCGGTGCTCCATTCGACAGGTTAAAACGAGTTATGAAAACGCCGCGCCCATCGCCGCGCGTGGCGGTGCGGCGAATTACGATCCTCTTTACCGTCTCCCACCACACATACACGGACAGAAATACATAGCGAATTATATATAGTAGGATGAGGCAACCCGTCATCTTGTTCTATGTTGGACAAACATGATTACAACTGTCCCAAAATGGAAATATCTCATGGAAGCCTTAAACACCGCCACTATTCAAGCATGTGACCACGCCTACCTCATCTCAAAGAATTTGTGTGGACTTTTTTTCCACTAGCGTGCCAGTCTACACCTACGAGAGTTCCATTACAGAGGATTGTGTATGAATTGCTGAGTTACTCCACCTTACATACTTACTTTTAGGTTGGTCTAGTGCTGATCGTCGCAGTTCTGTTATACTTACTTGCTCGTAGGCGTGTGAGTGATCATCATTTTAGTCAATTCCTCGAAAGACTGAGATGCCTTATACAAGCCATACCAGAAGGGAAAAGGGGCGTGGATGGCTAAGTCTACACGTTTCCACCTCTTTCCGTCTGATCCCTCGCAGACATGGCCGCTTTAGCAATATTTGCCCTTAGATGTGGACTGTAAGAAGACAATGGAATCGGAATTTGATGGTTATTGCCTTCAGATGTCCTCACTGTCTGAAACCCATTGGTACTTCTGCGTACATACTGCTTGCCCTTGAAGGGCGGGTGTTGCAGATTGCTGGGTGTCAGCAAGAAGGGCCCCAACTTCAACACTGAAACATAGGAACCAGGAGAGAGGAATATTTCGTAGAGCGAAAGTACAAATGGGACGTAGATATTGGCATATCTTGATAAAGCAATGAGCTGCTTTTCGCTAGAAATGGCCTGGAGGTGCATGAGTGTCGGATTCCTACCACCGTGACCGTAGCACGGCAACGTTGGCAGACAAGAGCTCAAGGCAGCCGGACGGCACGTCAGCGCACTGTTTACGCGCGTCGACGCGCTGCAATCGCAACACAGCTTCAATCCTATGGACGCGGTTGCAGTCGCAGACGGGAATCCATCGGCGCCAGAAGACCGCGGAGAGAATGGCAGCAGAAGGATACGCATAATAACGCAATCTGCTATGAGTACGAATTGGCTGCTCAGCGCTTGTATAGGAGTATAGAAAGAATGGGATATCATCAATTTGTGAGAAGGCAGCGCCTGCTCTCTTTTTATCCTATGCTCCCTCTCAAAACACAAGCGGCCG